GTGACCCGTATGGAAAGGGTTAATGGCTAGTAATTTTAAACTATTATGCCATCATTTTATAGTAGACCCATATGCATATGCCTTTTATTCTTGTGAGTGTACAAGCAGGGACTAGAATTTGAATAATTGAATACACAAAAATGTTGGTCTCTGTGTATTTGAGTAGCAAACTAGTTGAAATTCTCATTACTAGTCAAAAGATTCAATTTAAAGTGACCCTTCTTGAAAGGGTTAAAGTGTGCATTTTATGACATTTTACAAAATGCCATTCAACATGATATTATGTTTTTGATTTTACAATAATCTGTGGTACAAGAGAGTAAATACCAGGTACAACATACATGGATACTGAAAAACTGTATATGCATTTAGGAGGAAGGTGAGTGAAATTGCAAAATGTATAATGGACAAAACGAAAATATTTTTATTTTTCACATGAACATCAGAGTTCAAAGAACACGTACAATTTTAAGTATACTGCAAAAGATGAAGATGTATCATTAATGTCTAGTTGAAATATATAATCAATAACACCTCTTTGATTTGCAACATTTTTTCATTCTGCTGGATTTTTTTATGTGTAACGTAGACATTTGATCACATGAACATCACTTTGTACTCTAACTTGACAGAATCTGAGTCAAACTGACATCAGCAATTCACAGACATATCTTGATTATGTAACACATCTGATTTTTTATGTACAGCAGATTTTGTACATTTTACTAATAGCTTGCCACATTTACTGTAAATACATATAATAAATTTGGAATTATAGTCAATATTCCTTCTCCAGTACCGGGTCAGTCTATTGGACTGACCCAGTGCACATTTGGTTAAATACAAAAATTGGCCTGAGAGTATCTATTTTGCAGGTTAAATGAACATATAATAATAAAAAATTGAGAGGGATGAGTATGTTATATTAAAAGAATTTTTGAAAATGCAAATAAGCAAGTCGTGTGACAATTAAAGCCAATGTTAAAGTCATGGTGGAACTACATTTTAACACTGTTTGGCATTTCAACTGAAAATTGCTTGCTTTTATGAATGGTATGTAACAGCTCTTTCCAATGCAAAATATTCATACACTCAAAGCATAATATAGATATGTTCAGATCAAAAATTTAGAACTTCCAAGACATGGATATCCTTTGTACTTAATGGTATTTGAAAACAAAGGGATATGGATCAACTTGAAGAACAGGACTATCCAGAAAAAAAGACCTGCAACAACTTGTACAACTGTCATAAGCAAAGTGTAGCATCTTATAACAGGTGAGAATTCCTGAAAACTAATTGTTTCCATGACATATTCATTCAATCAATTTCACTCGTTAACCAGATAGAGAATGAAATGGGTATTCATGCTATTACTAAGACATACTGGTTAAGTCACTGAATGCAGTGCTTCTCCATTTCTGTGTGATAAGACCATTGATATAAGTGCTGGTAAACCATCATACTCATACACTAGCTGGATTATGGGAAGTCTGCAGGGAGAAGTGGTGTAATTTGAACATGACAGCCTCATAACGGAACTTATAACAATGGAAAATATGCTGCAGGTTTATTGTCAAGATGCATAGTTGTAAGACAGAACATGACCAAAAGTGATTACATGGACTGTAACACCGTGGTGAGGCTTCAAAATCTTTTATATAATGTACTCAACCTCTGTATGTATACAGTAGATTTACATTGTATATGTATACAGTTTTACATATAAGTAATATTTCAAGTAATATTATCCATAAGCAAGAATGAGGTATATAAGTCATTAAATCTTGCAATATTGAAAGGCATGTTTGTGTGTTTATATATATTTTCACTAGCATAAAAAAAAGCACATTATACATTCAGATACTTGTGTTGCTCTGGATTTAGTTTCTTGTTTTTTTTTCTGTGGGTTTCAGTATTTTTTGTTTAACATTTTCTGAAAAAAGAAATAATTATCTTAATGTACACTTCAAAGATCCTGTGTCAATGGCACCTCATAAAGCTCTGGAAACAATTGGTAGTAACCTGTTAAAGCAGTATGAACGGTGGCAGCCTCGTGCTCGTTATAAACAATCTTTGGACCCAACAGTGGAGGAGGTAAAAAAACTATGTACCTCATTGAGGAGAAATTCAAAGGTTTGTAGTATTAATACAAATTTTATTATTATTTTTATAATTTTTCTTTATATAGACATTCATATATCTAATATGCAGCATCTAGGAAAAGTAACTTTGAATTTTTGTATTGTGATTTTTTTTAAGTTAGACTGTTTCTTTAGATTTTTCATTATCAGTTACATAATTATTCTCTAAGGATAAGAACATTTATGAAGAAAACAACTGTTTGAATATTAAAAATAACTGACATATTTTCAATAAAGTTAATAATTTTTTAACTTTTTTATTTGCAAGAATTATGTGTTGCTTGCAAAGTTTGGGAAGGAAAGTATTTTAGTTTCAAGGATTTAAGTTTTTTATTAGTAAGTTAACTTTTTTTTTGGGTGTATTTGATTTAGTTGCCTATAATTTTCTATAATATGAATATTGTGACTAACAGTAGAAACTGATTAATATTATAACATTGACTAAATTGCTAACTGAAAAGACTTGCGTAGAGTTGGACCATTGTGATACTTACATGTATAAAGTTGCCTAATAGTTATAGCATTAAAGCATTATGTGAGCTAGGCCTGTTTAACCCTATTCAGACTGGGGAACACCTCTCAGGTGTTAAACACACACATGGATATCAAACTTCAAAATTTATGTAAAAATAATAATTCTAACTTTATTGTAACAAATCTTTACTAAAATATTTTAGAATTTATATTTTTTTCTTCTGCAGATTTATTTAGTGTAATTTGCAAGAATGAAACTTTTCAAACTTACATTACTGTACAGTTTAGAATAGTCTTGTATGTAAAAACATTTTTATAGATTTTGTTTGAAATTTTTCTGCACATCCCAAAGCACAGGATTATATTTGATAAGCAGCTCTTACTTTTTATTCCTTACCTGATTTTTCTTCTTCATCTTTTCTGATTTTATTAGCACAATGTTTTGTTTATACTGTTTTGTGACTTCCCACCATGTGACTGAATAACAATAAGTAATGAAACTCTGTTGTGTTCTTTGTGATTTATAGCCAGAAGCAGTGAGTACTGCAATTGGCAAAATAAAGTATTAAAATAAATGTTAATGAATATCAGTCAAGTTGAAACTAGTTGGATACATATATGTAACGTTCTTATCAACATTAAAAAAATTGAAATTCTAGTACAAAATGAAGTGTTTTTAATGTTTTTTCGAAACAATGTTTCTCACAATAGGTTTTTGAAATTTCACAGCATACAAATTATAGGAAAGGTAAATAAAATTGTATTATTGTTTTAAAACCAGAACTAGATATTGTTCAGTAAGTGTCTTTTACGTTTCATGCTATTTAATTAAGTATTTTAACTATGAGAAAGAAAAACAATAAGTATATGAGTAACCTTCCCCCCAAAAAGTCTGAAAAGGATTAATCAACATAAAAATGACAGTAGACAGTATGTACATGTTACAATTATCACTGGCTTATATTCTAATTGATCCAACAAACTGTTGTTATAGACTAATGCATACAATTTTATCATAAAATTATTCTGTAATATAAAGCTTTTTCCTTTGTCCAAAAATGATTCACTAGATAAGCCATCTTGTACAGTTACTAGTTTTGAAAATATACTTTGTTGTGAGTTTCCAGACAAGCTCACTAATGTGTTAAAATACTTCAAATGTTGAAAGTGGGATTACTATTTCTGCATGTATCTTTTAGGATGAACGTGTACTCTTCCATTTCAATGGTCATGGTGTTCCAAAGCCCACTGTGAATGGAGAAATTTGGGTATTTAACAGGGTAAGTTTAAATACCATTAGATAGAGCAGATAGTAAACTATTTAGTGGGTCAGGTCCCAGACTGATAAATTTTTGTCAATTTCTGCTGTATTCTTTACAATTTTTAGCCAGAAGCAACGGGTACTGCACCTGATGGATAAAGTATCAAAATAAATGTTACTGAATATCAATAAAATTTAAACTGGTTGGATATATATGAAATGTAAATTTCTGATTAATTTTTAAAATATTGAAATTCTAATGCAAAAAGAAGTGTTTTTTAATGTTTTTTCAAAACAATGCTTCTCACAACAAATTAATAAACCTAATTAGAGTGAATATTGTGTATGTTTAGAAAACAAACTGCTTGTTTAGTCCACCATACATTAAATATAAATCTAATAAATTTTATTTTGTGAGCATAAATATCAATATTTATATTTACTTATATAAGTGGCATAGATTATGAAAACTGTGATGAGGTGTACAATATAATTTGACATGAGATAATCTAATGTTTAAAATTTGCAGTATGTTTTTCGACTTAACTTTATGAACTGCATTATCAGTTTTGAATATATGCCTCAGAATTTTTTAAAGTCTGTGAAACATAACTAAAAAAAAATTGAGATGGTTTTATCTAAAATGTAAGAAGAAGAAGGAAGAAACAACAAATAAGCTAGCATGGCATATTGTCTTAGTTTGGTACTTTCTATTTAAGATGCAAAACATCAGTTTGTTTCTTTTACAATTATATAAATTTCAACAGAGTTCTTAGTGCTAATAGACTGATCATATAACTAAGACTTTATGTAGGATAAAGATTAGACCATTAAAAGGATATTTTCAGTCATATTCACCCTGACTTTGGATCATCTTTTCATAAATATCTTTATTATTAGGATTGTTATCTTTTCTTATGTCATCAAAACTATAAATTTTAGCATTAAATATAATCAAAATATTTCTTAAGATTGAAAGGTGAATATATTTATTCTCTGCACAGCTGAGTGGCTTGTGTGTTTGTGTATAAAAACTATGTGTACATATACATATATATATGTACACACTGAGTGGTCACAAGTAAATAGACACCTAATTTTTCATCATTTAACTAATTTGTGTTCACAGAGCATTAT